ATAATTCTCAAGCCCTTTCGGATTAATCTGTGTTCGGATTATTGAGACCCTACAGTATATTGTTTTCTATACACTTGTGTTTGCAATCAAGTAATGGGACTAGTGATTTTTAATTTTACTTTTATTTAAATTAAAGCATGATAYTTAAATAATTTAAAAYGTCTGGCAATCATTCAGATTTCTTAAAAATTTAATATATTTTGTAAAAATAACCATTCAAATTGTTTTAGGTAGTACTTTTAAACCTCAAGATTTGGCTATGCGAGAAAAGGAACTGGGAAACGAATGTTTTAAATCAAATGATTTCGAAGAGGCAATTTGTCATTATAACACTAGTATTAGTATTCTTTCAACACCAGAAGCTAGAAACAATCGTGCTATGTCATGTAAGTATTTAATATTTAAAATTTTTATTTTCTAACAATATATACATTAAGGTATTTTTTTTGTTTTGCATTAGAAGTATAACTTTTATAATTATTAAGTATTAACTATACTGGTTAATTAATTTATGAGTTTTATACTTTTAAATAATTTTAAGTTATAACTTGATTAAATGAGTAAAGAGTGACACAAATTTATAAAATATTCAATTTTTATAGCTAATGATTGAAAAACTGAAAGAATAATTTTCATAAGTAGTTAGTTCTTACTATAATCAAAATATCTAAAAAATTACATGTTTTTTATTTAATAAAATTAGATATTTAAACAAAAAAATAACAATTTTAGTTATTTTGTTATGATTGTTTTTCGTATATGATGATTTTATATCATTGAATTTTACACATCTATTGCGGTGACCGACTTGACATGTACTGCAAAGCGGTATATCAGTACCCATTTTCTGAGGTATACTCATACTTACTGTATAAAACAGCAACTTACCCAGTTTTTTATTGGTTGAAAAAATTTGAGTTTATCAATTGTGCTTAAAATTACCTTTTGAATTGTATTTTGTTATTTCTGGCTTCATGGACCAAATATGCTTGATTTTGTTAAGGTTATTTTACCTATTGTGCTAGATAATAGCCATTAGTCATTGAAATTAAAAATATGTAAAATTAATATTTATTATATTATTCAGTACAACTTAAGTTACATTTTTTTAATCAAATAAAAACAACATAATTAATAAACACTTGGGTATTATATATATAATAATAAGAGAGGCTKCCGCTACCTACCTAGGCATGGTGGAAACCTTTGGGTGTYGATTCAAAGTTCTGCCAAAAACATCCACGAGTTCCAACAAACAATTCCTTCCCCACAGTTCCACAGGCTAATGTGACTCTTGCTGTTGAAGCATTAACCCCAATAAAAAAAAAGTATCAAATACTATTATCATTGTGTTCCCCATAATAATTATAAAATGTTGTATACTAAACCATTTAGGCTGATAAATAACTTGCAAAAATTGTGTGTATAGTGTATACTGTATAGTAATCACTCAAATTCATATTTGTGTATTAAAGTGACGTTTTAAAAAGTCCCAATACTGTTCTATATTGGCTCCAAATMAGCTATTAACATTTTAATATGCATATTACAAATATTTTTGTGTAAAATATTATGATGAATGTTGATAAAAATTGAATTGGACAAAAACATATTTTTCATATCTCAAGGTAAACACAATTGGCTTATATGTGTTTATATATGGGGCACTATTGATATATTGACTATATTATTATTTTATAGTCAATATACCAAAATCAACTATTCCATGCCCCCTCCCCCCAAAAAAAAAAATAAAAAAAATATGTTATACATTAATATTATTTAAGGCATTACTTGCATAATTAAAAAACTCAGAGGTCAATCCCTGGTCTTTTAAAGTTGGACATCCCTGTACTAYAGTATTAAATATTATAAGTGTAGATTAAACCGAGTGATACTTCTAGTTCAGTATATTAGAGTAAATATCATTAAAGTTTTACCCTTTGAATATTTATTTTGATTATTATTTATTTTCATTTAATCATTATGAAATATTGTTTTCAATATTTTTATTATTAATTCTTATTTTTAATTTTAGTCATAAAACTGAAAAAATATAGTGAAGCATTGGATGATTTAAGAGAAGTGATTGAAAGTGACCCAAGAAATGTAAAGGCACATTTTCGGAGAGGGTCATGTTTTAAAGCTATATCCATGTATTGCTTAGTAAGTATTATGAAATATCTTATTAAATTGTTCATTAGTAATAGATATTTGGTATTGTATTTTATTATGACAGGCATTAAGATCATTTGAATCAACATTAAAGTATGATTGTAACAACGCAAATGCCCTCAGCTTTGTAAAAGAATTAAAAAATATAATTACAAATATGCATCCAAAAAAATTAATTAGGTAATATTTATATTAAAATTAATTACAAAATATATTAAATCATTTTTATTATTGCATAATTTGGTCTTTTTCTAGGGTTCGTGAAATAACTAGGCACTATGATGAAACTGTATGGGACATAGAAGACCCATTCCACGTATCTTATTTGGAACTTGCAGAGTTAAGCAAAGACAATGTTGAGTATGTGTATGAAGCCGATTCTTTTGGTTGTTTAACAGAATGCGTTTGTCAATTGTGTCCTTGGCATGAGTGGCAGCAGCGAAAGAAGAAATGGGGTCGTCACAAAATGTTTAAAAATGAAGGACCAAAAAAACGTTGGCAATTTTTAACACCTGATATTGTGCCTGTATTGTTGTCCACGTCTTTAGCTACTGAAATAAAAAAACCTAAAAGATTGAGTATTACTGAAATCAATTCTAGTAAAATAAATGGTCATCATAATTCAACGGTTCTTATTTGCTTTTTAGACTTTGTGTCATGATTTTATTCACTTTATTGTAATAATTTTATTCATATTTTTGTACATTTCAGAAAATTTGCGATAATGAAATAAACTCAACTAAAATGAATGGTCATTATAATTCAACGGTTAGAATTTAGTATTTTGTCTTAAGTTTATAATAATGTTCATAATTGTTATAATATTATTCTGTGAATTTCAGAAAATGAATGGTAATGTTACTAATGGAATTGATAAATCTACCTGTGAAAATTGTGACAATGATGAAATAAGTATGAAACCAGTATCTAATGTTAAAGATTTTTTACTAACTTGGAAAATAGCCAGTCAAAAAAATAATTATGAATTATATCATAAACTGTTGCGGAGTATTAAACCAAAAGATTTACCTAGGGGTAAGTACAACAATGATTTTTATCTTAGAATCATGATTTTGGGTTAACCTAAATAAATATGACATGTATGCAAATCATAGCATATTACAAAGCTCCCCTCTCGTAAGGGGTTCAAAGAGGCCTTTCCCTCTCCTACTATTTGGAAAATACACATTTTACAAACTTTTTTTAATTTAAATATATTCAATMTGTTTACAATAAAAACAATAAGTAATAAGGATAACATATAAAATATAAAATATCACAAACTTCAAATTGTTTATATCCCAAATTTAAGGCCTGCTCAAACCGAAGCGGTAGCGGTGGTGGTAACTTCAGCGGTATTTATCGCTTTTTAAATACCGCTGATCTAACCTAACCGGAGAGCGAAATATTTCGCCGAAAATTACTAGTCGACATTGTGACA